TTCCTAATCTAAATATTCAGCTAAAAGGAAAGAATTCGTGCAAATATAATATTTCCTTCTTTGCAGCATTGTGAAGACGGAAATTCTTTATTTTGTCTGATTTCATTTATTTCGGCTTGATATCCCCTCAAATTGATGCTGGCTGATTAAAAAATATCAATTTGCTGACAAGAAATTGATGACGTTGTTGAGAAAGAGCCTTAGTAAATGTATCAGTCGTTTGAAGATCAGAAGTGATATGAGGAAGAGATATAATATCATCCTCATAGGCTTCTCGAATGGAATGACAGTCCACTTCAATGTGTTTCGTGCGCTCATAAAAGACGGGATTCGTAGCAATCTGGATAGCGCTAGTATTATCTGCTTGAAGAGAAGTAGACTTAAGCTGAGGAAAATCAAGCTCAGCCAACACGCTCCGAAGCCAAATAATCTCGGAACAAGCAAATGACATAGCACGATATTCTGATTCAGTAGATGACTTAGACACTCGATCTTATTTCTTGCTCTTCTAAGAGATTAAAGAGTTGTCGAGAAATATACACCATCCAGTAATAGAACGGTGTGTATCAGAACAACCAGTCCAATCGGCATCACTATAGGTTGTTAAGGCCATAGGAGACTCCGCAGAAAGGAACAAAACACGATAAGAAGTATCTTTCAAATATCAAATAGTACGTCGAACTGCGGCTAAATGAAAATGTGTAGGTGCTTGCATAACTTGACTAACTTGTTGCACAACAAATGAAATATCAGGACTTGTAATAGTCAGATAATTGAGACTGTCAACCATTTATCGATATAGAGATGGTTTAGATAGAAAGTCACCATCATTCTGTTGATATTTGATATTTACTTCCAAATAAGTATCAGTGGAGCGACGGATACGTCGGGTTGATCGTCGAATACTAATTGGAGCAATTTCTGGATCAGGGTCAGGGAGGATTGAAGGTGAAGGGGGCTTATGTAGACAATGTTCGGCTTAAACCGTTTATCAGCAGAAGAATTATCAAATTGTGGAAATATAACTATATTTGATGTCGACACATGATGCTAAAAGTAATATTCATGTTCAAAGAAAATCACATTCCGAGAAATATGTCACCGATTTTTAATCGAATCATAACACCCAAAACCTTTATGATTCTTTATGATTAAACCTTTATGATTAAGACTGTACCCCATAAAGGCACATCGTACTGACTGAGCTATCAACTTTTGACGTTTATGAGCAGGTAGATGAACAAAACAAACACATCCGAAAGTATGTAGTGTATGATAATTAGGATGTTTATCAAAAATTCGATAGTAAGAAGACTCATACTTCAATTGTTGTGATGGTAAACGATTAATGAGATAAACTACCATAAATAAAAGCTTTAGTCCAAAATTTAGTTGGGACAAAAGATTCTATCAGTAATGTGCGTACAATATCTAATAGATGTCGATTTTTTTTTCAGCAATTCCATTTTGTTGTAGTGTATAGGGATATGAACGTTGTGAAACAATACCTTTGTTATGTAGAAATATTTGAAACTCATGAGACATGTATTTACCGCCATTGTCAAACCGTATGATTTTAATGTAAGCGAAGAGCTGAGTTTCAATATATGCTAAAAATGTTTAGAAAACAGTAAATACTTCTGTTTTTTAACGTAAAAAATAGATCCAAGTAAATATTCTGTAACCATCAATAAATGTAACAAAATATCTGTATTGAGCATATGAAATAACTGGTGTGATTCCCCAAACATCACTACGAATAATATCAAAACATTTATTGACACTACTGCCTGAAATAGGAATATGTAATGTCTCACTTTTTTCAAGTTTACAAACAGAACAATCAACTACTAAATTCTTATATGTAAAATAAAAAACATCACTTTTACATAAATGCTTCAACACCATATCATTGGGATGACCTAATCTTTTATGTCATATGCCCGCATTATTCTCAACAATTGAAGATGCTAATGAAATATTCTGAGGAACAATGAATTGTAATGAAAATACTCCGCTTACTTTAAGCCCATTCGCTATCATCTTCCCCGACACCTGATCATGTACAATACAACCATCACGAGAAAAATGCACATCATAGTTATTGTCCACAATTTGACCAACAGAGAGTAAGTTAGTAGATAATTTAGGAGAAATCAAGACATGTCTGAAGGAGGAGTTAATATCACAAACTGTCGTAATTAGAATATTATGTTCATTAGCAACTTGAATATGTTGAGCACTAGTGTACGGTTGTTGGTTATGCAATAGGTAAGTTGTGTCAGTCATATGATTTGTGGCGCCTGAATCAATAAACCAAGGAGAAGGAACAGAAGTAATAGTTTTATCTTTCCCTTGAAGGCCGAGAGCAGAAAAGGCAGAAAGGATCATCTATTGAACCATATATAGTGTGACAGCTGATTTATTATTGTCAGCAACTGTGGATGTCGTGGTAGGATTGTGAGTGTCAAATACCGTGGTTGCTTGTGGTTTGCGGTTTTGGGGTCGTTTAGGGCACTCCGTAAGAGTATGTCTCTTTTGCTTGCAATAAGTACATGCCTTATTTTCACAATTCCGTGCAATATGACCAAATTTCTTGCAGCTATAGCATTGCACTGGTCCCTTCCCTTTGGTCTTAGCAGCATATGTCATATTAATTATTTTTAATGATCCACCTGTTGTATTGATAGTAGTCTGTGTCACCAATCTTTATTCTTCGCGCAGTAATTGTCTAAAGTAAACATCCAAACAAGGAACCGGATCTCTGTTCAGCAAACCCAGTCGAGCAGTTTCAAATTCAGGTCTTAGTTTCATTAAAAATTGATCACAACAACTTTCTTCATGAATAACTTGAAGATTGACTAAGTTTTTCTTTGACACCTTAGCATAGATAATACAAGTATATTCGCTCCATAAATTTAGAAAGCCAGAATAATATTGTTCAATTGAAAGATTACCTTAACTATAATTACTCATGTCAAGTTTCAATTGGAAACGTTTCGCAGAATTATCTTCATTTTAAATGTGCTTCAAGTATTCTCACATTTCTTTAGCTGTGCCAAAGGATCGTAAATTGTTCACCATATGAGCCTCAATAGATCCAAAAATCCAATAAACAATCTGAGCATCCTTTGCTTCCCATTGACCAAGATCTTTTGCCTCAGTAGGAGCTGGGGAAGTCCCATCAATATGGCCTCAAAGCTCCTTTCCTTTTAGGAACATTCTGAGCTGAAATTCACATACGACATAATTTTTTTTTCCGTAAATCTAATATCTAAGATTTCAGAAGTCATTTTAAATAGAATTTTCGTTAATCAAATTCAACCAAAAAAATTAAAGAAAACCAAGATATCCAAAAAAAAAAATCCAAATTGTTGATCTTAAATCAACGTGAAAAGGGCTCGGTCGGAAAAGATGGATTGCGACGGAAAAGGGTTTGCAGCAGACGCGGATGAGCAGACGCGGAAAAGGGAAAAGGATTTGCGGGACGAGCAGAAGGATTGTGGCAAAGCGGGACGAGCAGACATAATGTAGCACGAACAGACATATCACGATAAAGCGGATCGCGACAGAGAACAAACGCAGGTCGCTGCAGAGAGGATCTGGCTTGACAGAGGAGTAGCGGTTTTCCAGGGACTCCGACCAAGGTGGACGACGATGTCGCAGAACTCAAGCAAGGACAAGAACGAGCGCTCCTCCCGGCGAGAAAGCGGTCGAAGATGCCAGTGAAGATAACAAAGAGACCAATTGAAGTCAAATATCGGCTCGCGGCAGAACTCAAACAAAGTGTACAAAGTTGCCGCAGAATTCAACGACAAGAACGAGCGCTCCGACGAGGAAGCAGTCGAACGATAGCAAAAACTAGAATTCCAAAGATTCAGACCAATGAAAGCTCTGATACCATGTCAATATTTCGAGCAAATAGGCTGAACAAATAGGCTGATGATACCATGTCAATATTTCGAGCAAATAGGCTGAATGTATTTTCCTTTGCTTTCATTCCAATAAATAATTTAGGTACATAATATTTTTAGGTACATAATATTTTGTATAATCTATTTTAAGTAACTTAATGAATACATATTCCTAATCTAAATATTCAGCTAAAAGGAAAGAATCCATGCAAATATAATATTTCCTTCTTTACAACATTGTGAAGAAAAAAACTCTTTATTATGCATGATTTCATTTATTCCTGCTTGATATAAAAGGGGGTGGGGTGAGAGTAAGGTGTGTGTGTGTGTCTCTCTCTCTCTCTCGCTCTCCCTCAGGGAATTTCCGAAAAGCCTGACTTTTACAGCTTTCCAGAGATAAGAATTTAATACTTTTCCTAAGGTTCCATCTCAAGGCTCTAATTCATCTCTCTCTCTCTCTCTCTACTATTACGATACAAGATCACTACTGGGTTGCATGCACTCACAAACAATATCAGACCCTATGTCTTAAAAGGATTTAACAAAAGCCGTATTGTTGTTCAGCATTTGTGCTCATATGCATGCCTTGCTTGATTTATTTGTATTGGCTGGACAACTTAGGAAGATTTACATGCATGCCACCAAACACTTATGTATTTACATATCTAACACCTAAAATTTCAACTTTTACATGCATGACAACTTACCTATGTATGAAAATACATAATTCACTTTTTTAAAGTAAAAAAGGTGGTAATTTTGATGTGATATGAAAGATTTGGGTGTTGTAAATGTAAAAAATAAAATTTAGATGTTCAATTTGTAAATACATAAGAATTTGGTGGTTCGTAAAACCCCTACAATTTAATGCATTGATGAATTAATATGTGCAGAAATTACCTAACCTGTAGTAATGTGTCATGGAGTCAAACTTTTTAACTTGTTTCCAAAGGTTATTCAAACTAGAAAATTTGATGCATTTTATTGAAACAAGCATCCTATCCTTTAGTTACTGTATTAATCATCTCATGCTTATGTAAATAGATTATGCCATCTTGTGTATAATCATATCCTTTCATAACACAGATCAGTGAGTTAAAATCTGCAATTGGCCCCATAACTGGAAGAAGCAAGCAGTTCTGCTCCGATGCATGCTTTCGAAGATACTTGGTTGCTCGTAGCTGGAATGTTGAGAAGTCGAAGAAAATGCTGGAAGATACTCTGAAGTGGAGATCAGTCTATAAGCCTGAGGAAATTCGTTGGGTAAGTTCTTTTGTCTGATGCCCTTGTTCATACGAAAATGCTGGAATATTTGTCAATATTATTCGCCATTGTTATTTAAATGTTTTAGCAAGATGTTGCTATGGAAGGCGAGACTGGAAAGGTGTACAGAGCAAATTTTCATGACAGGGATGACAGGACTGTTCTTGTGCTGAGACCAGGAAAACAGGTAAAACTTCTCTTTTTCATGAAAGATATTTCATGTATTCATCGCCTAAGCGAAAATATGTACTTATTTGAAGAACACGTCGTCGCATGATAATCAACTCCGTCATCTGGTTTATCTCTTCGAGAATGCAATTCTCAATTTACCGGAGGGTCAAGAGCAGATGGTGTGGCTGATAGATTTTGGAGGATGGTCTCTAAGCAACTCAGTCCCGATAAGGATGGCAAGAGAAACAATAAATGTCTTGCAAAATCACTATCCTGAAAGGCTTGCTGTTGCTTTTCTTTATAATCCTCCGAGAATCTTTGAAACTTTTTGGAAGGTAAATACTTTTCTCTCTCTTATATTATTATGGTTTGCATTCCTAACTGTTTGGTTGCTCGAGTAAATGTGCCAAGTGGCTCAAATCTTTTTTTTATTATTATTTATTTATTGGTTTGCAGCCAATATAGTGAAATAACTACAAAAAGGTTGCAAACCTTTTTCTACTTGTTTTACGTGCAGCCCCACAATCTTCTTCATCTAAAGTCACCTCTAGACCTAAGCCTATATATTCAGTGCCCAATGTACCTATCAACTCATCCCATCTAGTTAATAACCATAAAATGCATAGTTAGAATTTTCTTCGATGTTCTCAGTCCGTCTTTGATACACCAAAATAATGTGTTATTTTAAGTATATATTTTATGCTTATTTTTTGTGATATTGCACATTAAAGAATGGTTTTTTCATGTTTTTGTTGCAGCTATATCAATTTTAGGTATTTGGAGCAAAAGTAGCAAAAATAAGAAAATTTGGAGCCAAAATAAAAAATTTTATGATTATGGCGCCTGAAGTACAGAAAGCTGGCGCTTGAAGCGCCAGAACTGGCGCCTGAAACGTCATTATACAGAGAATTAACGCCTAAAACTCCAGAACCTAGAATAACGCAGACTTAAGTAACTTGGCGCTTGAGGCGCTAGAGACAATACTTGATGAATTAAGGCGGTTTGGGACGAATTTTGAGCGGATTTTGAAGGCTTCAAATGTTTCAAATGCCTCATGGAGTGATTCAATGCATATAGACACTTTGGAAGGCTCTTTAATGAAGGGATATGCCTCTTGAATGAATGGACATATCTTTTGGGATTCAAAATGTGTGAATTTTGGAGAGAATTTGGGAAGGAATTTTGAATTCTTTTTGAGAGGAGGCAACCACTAATTAAAAAGAGGGAGTCTAGGGTTGAAGTGAGTGGCATGTAGGGAGGTTCAGTGGAGAAGAGAGCGGCGAGTAGAGAGGTTTGGTGGAGAAGAAAGAGAGGCAAGTAAGAGAGAGAGTGAAGGACTTGGAGATTTTCTTCAAGGGGTGTAAGAGGAGAGGGCAAGTGAGAGATTTTTTCTTCATTACATTTCCAAGAGAGAATTGACGGTGCTTGTAAAGAGGGAAAGTGCTTAAAGAGAACTTCTAGGAATTTTGCTTGAGAATGATTGTGAGATAAATTGTCTTTTATTTCTTTGTTTTGTAAACTTGTAAACTTCTTTGTTTTGTAAACTTATTTTTATATATATAATCCGTGTTTTGTTGTTTCTTTCTCATGAATTCTGAGTAGTCTTCTTTATCCTTCTCCCTACTCTGAGATATGGTTTTTTGAAGAATTTATTTTTTTATACAGTTTTAAATATCAATTTTTAAATATATTTTTTTATACAGTTTTAAATATCAATAATTTGTGATGATTTAAACTCCGATCTTCATTTACTTTTGATCTAGCTAATTAAAATGTTAAAATGTGTTGAGAAACATTTGATCCAAAAAAGCTATAATTTCTACAACATTGTGAGAGTCGCATTCAATTCCATGGGTGAGAATTTAATTAATGGGGTTGAGTGCAAATTAATAGAGAAATATATTTTGTTGAATGCAAAATTGGTGATTTTAAGGTGATAGATTAAAATCTCCAATTTGGTCAAGTTGATTAGAAACTAATGTGAGATTGTTACTGCTCAGTCGAGGGAGAAGTGGGAGTTCTGGAGTGAGAGCCGGTATTCTCCCAACCTAACCACAAAATTAGGGATCGAACTCTGGATTATACATTTGAAAGAGGGTAAAGAATAGGATTGCTCCTATTTGACACAGTACAATTATATATATATATATATATTTAAATGATTTTAATATCTTCACAATTCATATACTCATTTCAAAGGGGAATGATGTTTTCTTAAATTTGAACTCTTCGTCACAGAAACTTTATTTAATTTATAGAAGTTTGCTTTTGAAGTTTAGCAATTAGTTTAGTTAACTTAATTCTTTTAACTGCATTTATTTAGCATACACTCAATTATTTTAGATTTGAACTTCGTACTTAAATTTTGTAGTTTGAATTTTGTGTTTTACATTATAAGCCATAAGCATTTCCAACTTCCATGTGGGATCGATACTCAGGACTCCATTAGTGTCATTTATTACTTGAGTGGTAAATATATCTGCGTTATTATTATGGGTTTGGTAGTTTAAAGATTTTAAAAGATAAAATTATTTTTACTAAAGTTATTTTTATTAGGATTGAATTGCATATTTATTATTAGAGCTGTCTTGTGTGTTTTGTAATATTGAAAAATATTTAGAAAAGAAACACAACAAAAATCCGTGCATCAGTCTTCATGTACGTTTGTGGTATAGAAAAAGATGGACATCTCACAGGTAAAATTTTGGCTCCATAAATAATAAATTCTAATTACTGGGCTTAGAAAACTTACGACCACTTAGTTATGTCATGTTTAATAAATTCCATGACCATAGAGATTGGAGAAAATTTATCGCTACATAGGACAACCAAAAAAATATGAGAGGCTGCACATAAAACTTATTATAGCGTTGAAAACTCTTTAGAACTATTTGAGACTGAGATCAGACTATATGATCTATGACAAGGGGAAAAGTGTTAATCAATATTTTAACACTGACAGGTTGTTAGTTGCATATAGACATGTACGAGGTTTATTCCTAGAAATGCCTGATGACTTTTCCTTGTATAAGAAGATTATTGAACAAAAGAGGACCATCAAATTTCTTTTTGGCCTCAATAAAGACTTGGATGAAGTCGGGGGAGAATCATGGGAATTAAACGCCTTCCTACCATCCGGAAGGAATTTGCAGAAGTTCAAAGGGAGGAAAGGAACTTCTCCACTGGAAGGAATTAGTTAAGTGAATTTGACAAAGGATCTTCTCCTCTTCTTTGTTCTTTATGTTAAAAAATTAGAATACAATCTACTCTCAATCAACAAACGTACTCATGACTTAAAATGACTGACTAAGTTTTATTCCAATTTTTTGTGATTTTTAGTTAGTGGATTCGGGGAAGGTGATTAACATTGTTGAGATGAATGGTGATCTATATTCGCTCAAAGGAAATAACCTCATTCGTAGATAGATCATCCGTCAAATTGTATTTCTGAGTATAGTTCATATTTTATTAATCTAATTGCCAATTCTAAGCCTATTTTAGTTGAAAGACATTCTCATCTTGATCATCCAAATTTCGCTTACATTGAAAAAATATTTTCACATATGTTTATCACTAAAAAAATTATATTTTATTAATTTGAAACTTGTTGACTTGCAAATATACCAGACATGTATCCTCTAAACTAAAATATAAACTCTTACATTCTTTTGTTGTAATTCACAATGATCCCAAGTAAAAAATATGATGGGATGTGATAGATTACTCATATATGTGCTAACTGCACTAACTATATATAATAAATTTGGACGAGAACAAATCATAGCATACATGAGAGATCCCACTGCACTAGAATATGAAAGTCGAGACATAGACTAAATCTGATTATTTGACTGTGAACACAAAGCTGATGAGAGTCTTAAATACATTGCTAATGTAGTACTATAGGTTTGTCATTCTACATATTTAACATTTGTAGAACTTTCTCAATATATATTTTCTGAGACAGAAATAACTTACTTGTCTTTCTATAAATCTGAAGCTTTATGTCTAAGTATTTTCTTAGTAGTTCCCAACCCTTTCATCTCAAACTCACTGCTAAGTTGAGTTTTTCACATTTTGATGTCTTCTTTATTTTTAGCAGCTATCAACATATCATCGACATGTAAAAGCAAACATATGAACGATCAGTTATTATTTTTGTTGAAGTAAACACAACTATCATAGCCACTTCTCTTAAACTCATGAGCAATCATGAATTGTTCAAATTTCTTATACCATTATCTAAGGGAATGTTTCATACCATAAAAAGATTTTCTTAACAAATAAACACAATCTTCTTTTCTTGTAATTACAAAGCCCTCAAGCAGCTACATATGGATGTCATCTTCAAGCTCTCCATGCAAAAATAAAGTCTTTACATCTAACTGCTCAAGCTCAAGATCATGCTTAGTCATAATGCCAAGTAAAGCTCGAATTGAACTATGTTGACCTCCATAGAGAATATATATGTAAAGTCTACACCTGGAATTTGATTTAATCCCTTTTCAACAAGCTTACCCTTATGTCGGGCATCTTCAACTCCTTGTGCACTTTCCTTCTTTTTAAACACCCATTTGCAGTAAACAACTTTCTTGCCTTGAGGCAGATTTATCGAATCCAAAGCCTTATTTTTTTGTAGGGAATCTTATTTTTTGTAGGGATTCAATCTAGTCCTGCATAACAATCATCCACTTACTCGAGTCAACTAAATTCACCACTTCTTCATTAAAATTGATACCTTCAGCTATATTTAGAGCATAAGCAACCAAATTAGCCTCACTATACCTTTGAGGCGACTTAATTTCTCTTCTTGTTCTATTCTTAGCAATAAAATATTGCGATGGTTGTTGTCCTGTTTGTGGGAATGTAGCATCACGGTGATTATTTGAATTTGACTTAGAAGTTATGCTCGAGGATATACCTATATCAATCTGAAGCTCCACTTGCCTGCTACATCTTATGATCTTCACCCATATATTTTATAGTAGGTACTGTATGTAACATGACAAACTCATCAAATTCAACATTTCTACTAATGATCACTCTGTTGGTTTTCAGACAACCACAACTTATGACCTTTAACTTCAATTTTATGACTAAGAAATACACTTTATATAATTAAGGTTTAATTTTCATTATTAATATGAACATATACAGGATAGTCAAAAATTTTAAAATTAGAATAGTTCACAGGTTTACCTCACCAAATGTTAGATGGAGTCTTCTTGTCACAACAATGGAAGCAGTGCTAAGCAGCTTCAGCACAAAATGGCTTGGGTGGCTTGGTATTAAAGAGTATGCAACACACTTTCTTCATTATAGTCTTGTTCATTTGCTTCGTCTCACCATCTTTTTGAGATGTGTGTCGAACTGTAATGTTTATCATAATTTCTTTTGATTTACCAAAAAACATTAAATTTTTATGAACAAAATTCTAATCCAATATCAGTGCGAAGGCTTTTGATCTTCTTCTAGTTTGCTTCTCGATCATAAGCTTCCACTTCTTAAAAGTGATAAAAACATTGCTCTGCTGCTTGAAGAAATCATCAATGAGCGTCAACGTATATTTGGCACCATCTTCAGATGGTACTGTAGATGGTCTCCAAATATTAGAATGTATGTAGTATTTCCTTGGTATTGTGAATGTGAATATTGAATTTAACTCTCTTCTATTTCACAAAAACATAGTTCTTACAGAACTTCCATTTAGTAACATTCTGACCTTTTAGAAGTTCTCTCTGCTCAGTTTAGACATTACATTCTCACTCATATGTCTAAGATGCAAATGTCCAATTCTTTGTGCTTCATCATTTGATATGGAAGTAGTAACTGGTACATCGCTTATCACTGTAGAGCCTTGCAAAATCTGTAGTCCAATAGTTTTCTTCTATCCTTTTATCATAACAAGAGAGCCTTTGTTGACCTTAAACCATACCTACAACAAACTACTTGTACCTTTTAGCATCAATGGTACTTAAAGAAATTAAATTTCTTTTTCAGATCTAGGACATGACTCACATTTCGAAGTGTTCAGATGATTCCATCAAACATCTTAATTTTAACAGTTTCAAAATTGATATTCTTACATGAAGCATTATTGCCCATTAACACGGTACCCTGAGACATTGTTTCATATGTTGAAAATCAATCCTTGTTAGGACACATCAAACGTGCGGGTAATTTCAGATCTTATCCTTATTCTTCGATTTTGATCTACTCTTTGTATCAGTACCAGAACTCCTCTCTTTAGCTCTACCACGAATGAGAATGTCTTCTTCTTGAGTACCAGGTTCATTACAAGCAGCTTCATCTTCTCTTTAGAAAATAAAACATCATATATTTCGTCTAGAATAAATATTTCTCGTCCATAGAAGATGATTTCTCTGTTGTATATGATGATGGAAGCGAGCACAACAAGATTAATACTAATTCTTCTTTGTCATACTTAACTTATATGGCTTCTAAATCATATATATGATTTCCTTAAAAGACATATAAATTATATATAACATATGCACATTTTGTCATGCTTTGAAAGTGCAAACACCACTTCAAGTGCAACTTATTTGTCAAATTGTTCGTCATACACAATTGCTCTAATTTTAATCATAACGCAACAATGGTCTTCTCCTTCAAAATATTATGTAGAATTTGATTTGATAGATGAAGATAAATTTAAGAAAGAGTCTTTCAATCTTTATGTTTCTTCTTATTCAATGTCCATGATGAGGACATCCTTTCAAATCTAAGTAGCACATTGTTTAGATCTATTTGCGCGTTAAGAAAAGTTGCATCTTAACCTACCAAAGTGAAAATATAACGTTGCAATCTAAACGAAGAATATTATACTTCATTGTTGCCATCTTCGAGATCAATACTTTTCTTTGATACCACTTGTTGTAATTTGATATTAGATCGATGCAACAAATAATAAAATAAATAAAAATAAATAAATAAATAACATTCGGATTTTACATGGAACATTAAAACTGGCCATCTTTTGGAATGTTTTGAAATTTTGTATTGAATAATCAAAATATTTTTATTTTGATTTGAATTTCGTGACTTTTCTTTTCAAAATTTCCATGTATAAACTTTATTAATTTATTTTGTAATATTTCTTTTCTTTTTGTATATGTTAATCTTCATATAAAATTAATATGTTTATCTCTCACTCTTTTTAGCCCATAATAATTATATTTTATTTCATTCTCATCCTTTCCAACACCATTTCCTTAAATTGACTGTTAAAATTAAATTTGAATGATAAGGTAGGATTTTATTTGAGTATTGATCGACAATAAAAAAATTGAAGTTCTTTTTTTTTTTATTCTCCTCCTTCCTCCTTCCTCCTTCCTCCTTCCTCCTTCCCAGACACACAGCTCCTAATACTATCTTTCCTCAGTCTTCACTGCTACGTTCACATTTCTATTTTCATTCATAGAAAATGCCGTTAGTGCTTTCAGCTTGCTCGCAGTAAAAACATAACTCCATAAAAAACTTTCATTTCCTCATTGTCCTACTACTACCTATGCAGGTGGTCAAATACTTGATGGACCCAACAACTTTTCAGAAGGTGAAATTTGTGTACCCAAAGAACAAAGAGAGCATAGAGCTAATGCATAAGCACTTTGATGAGAATATCCTTCCCAGGGAATTTGGAGGGAAGAGCGACGCTCATTATGACCATCAGGAGTTCTCCATATTAATGGCTAAGGATGACCTCAAATCTCTCAGATTTTGGGGATCTGACAATTCTTCTGCGCCATTAATGGTAGAAACTGAAGCTTCTTTGCACGCTACAGCTGCAAGTTAATTAAGTCCCTCTCACACCCTTAAATCTCTCTGCTATCTTCTATATCTTCTACTTCTACTTCTGAAGTTTGATGCCATGAAAGACATGCCTTTGAATTTTTATGTATTTTTACATTGAAGATTTACATTACGGAACACTGTATTTTTATCATGTATTTACATATCTAACACACCTGTGATGAAGTTAATGAGATGCAGGAAACATATTAGCTGGTGGTTGCATAACAGAAATTAGAAGAAGAAGAAAAAGAAGAGGAAGAACCGAGAGAAGACTCAGAGAGCTTTTTTTCATTCATCCATATTTTTCTACAGCATTCTTTTGTACAGGGAATATCATACATGGAGATACGGTAAATAAGTTTGTTTTAGGATGGATGGTTAGATTTAAGCTGTTGATGGTGGACGGTCCCGATTTTCTTCGAGGCTGTTTTCGGTGGGGCTGTTGCAAGGTAGTGGAGCAGGGTTTATTACATCCCCGCTCAAACTGATGGTTTCGCAGGAAGTGTAAGTTTATTCGTCAGTTCCTGAAATCTGAAGTTGGCACTTTGGTGAAGACATCTGCAAGTTGATCATGCGTAGAGGTGTGATGGACTGTGAGGTGATGCTATTGAATGCAGTCGAGGATGAAATGACAATCAACTTCTATATGCTTGGTGTGAGCATGGAATACTGGGTTGTTTACTAATGCAATGGCGAAGATGTTGTCGCGGTATAGCTTGGTTGGTTAGGTTTGAGGTGTGTTGAAATCGGCCATTGTAGCCATATAATATCTACGGTAGATGAAGCTAGAGCCCTCTATTCGGCTTCGGTGGAGGAGCGAGCTACTATAACTTGCTTCTTGGATGACCAGGAGACGGGTGCTGCCAATAAAAATGCAGTAAACGACAGTGGGTTTTCTGTCGGTTGGGCTGTCGGCCCAGTCGGCATCCGAGTAGGCCATATGAAGGTGAGACGGAAATACTGGAAGGCCAAGGGATGGTGCCGTTTAAGTAACAAAGTATTCGCTTGAGCTGACCATGATTTGTGGGATGTTGCATGTGTCGAGAGGCTACATTGACTGCAGAAGTGAGATCTGGGCGAGTGTTAGATATTGGAGAGAACAAACTAATTTGTGATAGGGGTGGGATTTGAGAGAGTTGTGTCGAATGGGGGTGAACGATTGCTTGGATGGACAGGGGTTGGAGACGGCTTTGGAGTTTTGTTTGCCCGCTGATTTAAGAATTTCGGTGGCTTAGTTTGATTGGGATGGGTGAAGACCTTACGAGGTGGTGATAATGTGAATGCCAAGGAAATAAGAGAGGGTGCCGAGTGCTTTCATGTTGAATTAAGGCTGAAGTTTTTGAATGGTATATTAAATGAGGGTTTTTCCCGGTGAGGAGAATGTCATCTTCATATATAAGCACATAGAGATAGGTGTTATTTGTGTGGAGATAGAATAGAGATGGATCGGAGTTGCTTGGTTTGAAATCAAGAGTTTGGAGGTAGTTGGATAGAGTAGCAAACTATTGACGTGGAGCTTGTTTTACACATAGGGGGCCTTTTTGAGAAGACAAACATGATGGGGAAAATTGGGATCTATGAAGCCTTGTGGTTGTGTGTCTAGATTGCTTCACTTAGGTGGCCATGGATAAATGTGTTGGACACATCCGGTTTGGTTGGTGAGGGCAATGGTTATGAGTACTCAAATGGTGGGTAGTTTGGCAACCGGGCTAAAGGTTTCAGTGTACTCAAGGCCGTGTTGTTGTTTGTATCCTTAAGCAACTAAGCGGGCTTTGTAGCTAGTGATGGAGCCATCAGCATTGAGTTTGGTGTGGTAGGGCCATTTAGAGCCAAGGATGTCGTAGTGGGGAGAAGGTGGAACAAGTATCCATGTGCCTTGAGATTGGAGAGCTTGGAATTCCATAGGCAATGCCTCCCGTCATTTAGAATGTTTAGCAGTGGAGGAGTAAGATGTAGGATCGGATATGTTGGTGGGTTGTAGATCTAGAATTTGGAGGGCTAAAGGTTTGATGGGTGAGGTTTAGAATTTGGCGTGGTTTAACGTGGTCGGTTTGTAGTCTTGTTTTCGTTGGGTGAGTAGAGATGTTTGGTGGTTCTTGAGGAGGAGGTTCGGTTGGGTGAGGTTCTTGGTTTGATGTGTTGGTGGGTTGTAGATCCCTGGGTTGTCGAATTTCGGGTGGCGAAGGATCGGACAAGGAGTTGATGAAGTGGCTGGTTTGGACTAGGATATGTGGTTTAGATAGGATTGAGGTTGGGGTGAGGAGTGGCTGTTGTGACGTATGGGAGTTAATCGAGGGTGTTTGGGTGGGGGAGTTGGTATGAAATGAAAATATTTGTTCATGAAAGATAACTTGGTGGGGTATATAGATTTTGTTGCAGGGTGGGTCTAGGAAGCGGTAGCCTTTTTGAGAGGGTGCATAGCTAAAAAAAACACATGGGGTGGAGAATGAGGCTACTTTGTGTGGAGTGTAGGGTTTTAACCATGGGTAGCAAAGACACCCAAATACTTTGTGGTGATCGTGATGAGGTGGACAGTTGTTTAGAAGTTCATAAGGGGATTTCGAGTTTGTGGTTTTGGATGGTAGGCGGTTGATGACATATGTGGCGGTGACAAGTGTGTCGGCCCAGAATGAAGGTGGTAAGGAAGTGTGTTGCATGAGAATGTGCGATATGTTTCTATGAGATGGCGGTGTTTCCTTACAACGACTCCATTTTATTTGGGTGTGTAGGGACATGTGAATTGGTATAGAATTCCATGTTGATCGGTTATGGATTGGAAGGTTCGATTGATGTGCTCTCCACCTCCATCAGTTCAGATTGATTTAATTTTGTAAGGATGTTGATTTTGCACAAGAGATTTGAAATGTATGAATTTTTGGGTGGTTTCTTTTTTTATTTCGAAAGAGATATATCCAGGTATAGCGTGTAAGTCATCAATAAACACTAAGTAAATATTTATATGCTTGTAAAGGAGTTGGCGAAGGTTCTCATACATCTGAGTGAATTAATTTAAGAGGATATAAGGATCTTGAACTAGGAGTAGAAAAAGAGAGCTTGTGACTCTTTCATACATGACATGACTTACAATGTAATTGCTTAGGAGAATTGCATAAAAGTGTAAATCTAGAAGCTATGAGGGATTGCATGTTGAGTGAGGGATGGCCAAGCCGTTGATACCAGGTATGTGCTGAGTTGTGACGAGGGCAAGATTTGGAGACAAGATTTGGAGAAGATTTCTTGGAGGTCGGTGGTTGCACCGGATAGAGCCCTTGAACACAAGGACCTTCAAGGATTGGTCGATTGGTGTTGATATTGGTATTTTGATAACCATCGGAGCTGAATGTGATAGAATAGGAATTTGGTTTGGTTAGTTTATGGACAAAGATAAGATTATAGGCTAAATGAGGAATTTGATGAAGTTTGGAAAGGTATAGCTTACATTGGGGAGTGGGTATGGTGCACCAATTTGAGTAATGAGAAGCTATTGTCGGTTGCTAGGGGTGTAAACAAGCCAAATACGAGCAAGCTCAGGCTCAACTCGTGTTCGACTCGTTAAATAATGCAACTGTTCGTGTTCGGTTCGTTTATATTTTGGAGAAAAAAATGTGTTTGTGTTCGACTCATTTGCTTAGCGAGCCGAATACAAGTTGTTTACAAATAATCTTTTTGACATTCTTAATCACGCAACCGTAGAATGTTAAAGATTGGGACTAAATTTAAATTTTATTATTTATATTAAAACATCATTCAAACATAATTTAGTTTATTTTTATTTGATTTTTTAATTAATAATTTTAATTGATTATAATTATTTGTAGCTTCGTAGTAAATCTAATTATTTCAAGTCAAAATGAGCCCAACACGAACAAACAAATTTTTGTTCGTGTTCGGCTCGTTAACTTAGCGAACAAATTGAACTTGAACTGTTTGCGAACAACGAGATGTTTTGATAATTCTGAGTGTTGTGAAGATGTTATGGTTCAGCTGTCAAGTACCGGAGTGTTGTGAAGATGTTATGGTTCAGCTGTCAAGTGTTCAGTCGCTCTACTATCAAGGTACCACTCGTTGTTGCTTTGCTCTACATTTGTGGTGACAAGGGCTGTAGCTTGGAACTATTTGTCATGTCGGCACCAACATTTGTATGCTTCATGATCGATTTTGTGACAAATTTGACAAGTTGGATGATTATGGATGCTAAGTTGAGTTTACTCCAGGTTTTTGACATATATGTCAGTTTCACATATTCTTATCATGTATTTACATATCTAACACACCTGAACTTCAATTGTTTTTACATATATGTCAGTCTCACCTTGTCTATACTTGAAAATGTGTTTTACTTTTTGACAGTAAAAATAGTGTATTTTGATGTGGTATGAAAAAAGTTTTGGGTGGTAAATGTAAAAAAAGCAAAAAAAAAAAAAAAAGTATAGGTGGTGGATATGTAAATATATAAGAATTTGATGTCATTTTTCTAAATGCCCCTTTTATTTAATACTTCTTAGATCTTTAGTGTTTTAATCATATTAACAATTGTATTAATATTATTTTATTTAAAATGAAATATATCTTAATATGTATATATTGTGATATGTGAGTTCAACTCTTGAGTTTTATGGAAATAAATATGAATGTTTAGATGTTTCATATATAAATCAATAAAAATTTATTGGTGTACAAGAATCTAAAATTCAATAATTTATATATATATATATATATATATATTTATTTATTTATTTATTTATTTATTGCTGTTTGTGAATGTGCTTAATTATTTTATACATTCAATCATTTTTTTTTTCTTAAAAAATTAATTTGAGTTTGATTTAAATCAGAATTTAAATTTATTAGTAGTTTTATTATTCGGTTTAGAGTTTAGGGCAGCATACCTAGTTGTATTCTTTATGCGAATAGCTTAAACAATATCCTTATTATTTAAAATATTTTGATTTATAAATTTTATTGAAAAATTTGCTGCTTGTTTGTTATTATTTAAGTAGCTTGGTTAAATTTAATTATTAATTAAAAAATCAATCTATATAATATATCTCTTACTGCATAAATGAGCTTAAAATGCATAAAATGTTAAGAAATAAATATAATATTGCAACGTAGGTAGTTATCATAGGTAAATAGT